CTACTCTCTCTCTCTCTCTCTCGTGAATACGGGCGATGCTAGCCGCCCTGCTTAAATTCGTTCCAATGCCATGGAATGTCAATCATATAATGCAAGACGCTAATACATCAGACAGAAGAACTTGCGAGGCAAAATGATTGGGAATCAAGTCAAGTACGGTATCTAGCAGTGCCCGTACACAAGGTTAAACAATGACGCACTCTTTCGTGAACTTCTGACTGATTCCCACATGTCCCGAACGTCTTTCGCCAAATGGGACACCCGGTTCCTTTGCAAGAATATACGAGAGGTGTACGTCGTTGCTGTTGCATTGTTAACCAACCTGCTTGTGTGACGCTCTACAAATTCTCCCTCGAGTCAAAGATTCAGGATCAGGATCAGGCAACACATCTAATTGCACACATAGCCCACAAGCAGTTGAGAGGAACGAACTGCTATGGAACCTGAAATGTTGGAGATGAGGACGCCTGAGGTTATCTCCAACCTATGAGAGCAATATCAGTGTGGTACCATAGACATAGCATTTCAGCATGAGCACACCAAACTAAGCTGCACAGTTTCTAAACGCCAGCAATGCCTTCTCAACATTCAAGATGATTGACGCAAACAGCAAAAGGAAAAAAATCAAAAGAAGAGAAAAAAGCACTTTTGTCGCTATCCCTTCCCAGTCGTCTGTGTGGCAACGTTCTCCAGGGCCGTATATCTCCACTCATACTGTGCCATCGCCCTCTTATCACTTGCAGATCGACCTTCATTCTTGCCGGTCAAATCTTTTGTGCCCTGCATCTGTATTTCCCACACCTTGAGGATTCGAGCCTGGGCTTCCGAAATCGAAGTCAGGTTTGAGTTCTGTGAGGCCATTCGTTCGTCAATCGTTGCATGATACGATAGTTTGGCGCGGAAAAGAGCCATCTCGCATTCGTCGTACTTGATTCCTTTTGCCTCGGGCATCATATTGTCTTGTGTACTCTTCGGAGGCATCTCGGACTGTACCACGAGAGAGAAAGATGAAAGGTAGTCGATGCGGTAGGCAATAGACTAGTTTTATAGCCGTGTCTTGGCCATGCAGTGAGTGTGGACGAAGTGGAGACAACATGCACAGTAGAATGGTCAACGGATGAAGTATGTATTTCTGTCCAAAGATGAAGTGATTCACGACCGACGTCACACCTAGACCACGTATGAAGCAAACACAGAATAAAGATGGTGGCGAAAAAAAAAGGCGACTTCCAAACTAAGGACCGAAAGACGAAGAGCTATAGGGGGAAGAAAGCAAGCGAAAGATCGATCAATTATATCATGACCAGATCTTGTTCACCGTCATTGTTTAAAGGAAACATCGCCCCCTCCAATACCCGACATACCGGATGTATCACCCTTCAACGCTGCGCAGAAAAGGGGGGAGGGGGAGGTATGGCCACAGTCGAGCCATCCCGGAAAGAGAAGGAGATCAAAAGACACATGCAACTTACTTTCATCCACCCTGTCAATTTCTTCACTTATAAAGAATGGTCCTCGAAGTAGGAACCTACACATCCCGTGTTGAGCAGCGATGACCCGTTTGCTTCTCGGCGACAGTCCCATCTGTCTCGTGACGAGAAGCCGAGCCAATGGATCTGAGTTGCCGTCTTGTCTGGCGCTTTTAGTGCAAAAGCCATGGTAACACCATGTTTGAATCGCCAGACCGCGCAACCGAGCGTGCATGACTCAAGGAATTTTGCTGGAAGGGTCGAGCATCAATCGGCAGATGCAGTCCCGTCTCGGTCCGTATGGTCGTGCGCACATCTCTGTGTATCAGGGTCTGTAGATTAGAAGACATCTAAATGTCGTGTGGTTGCACTCCGTCTATTTACCTATCTCTCAAGTTCTCATTTGCTATAGGATGGATTAGCTATTGGCAAACATTCTCTGATCCGGATATCTTCAGACAATCGAAAAGAGGGGTTAGTGGTTCGATATCGTTTGCCACGAGGGTGAAAGGCCAGAAATTGGATTACACAAAAATAGAGTTGATGTAGTCTGCCCGTCATTTTCAGTTGACCTATCCTCTCATCCTCCATCTTCATGATCTCAAGTGGACCATTGTTCATTTTGCACACCATCCAGATCTGCGAAACAAATGAGCACAAATCTCCTGCTAAATGCTACCAGTATGAATGCTGTGTCTGGTCCAGACTAGAAGTGGCTGGGGGTTTCTCTTCTACAACCAGAGACATACACACGTCTTCAGTACGAAGGATTTCAAAAAGGGGGGAGGGGGGGAAACAGACCCTATGAACCAGCTGAAGTTTATACTATAGCCACGGAGTCTCTTTCGGTCTTTTTCTGTCTTTTTCTGTCTCTTTTTGTCTCTTTTTGTCTCTTTTTCAGCTTGCGTCACCATCCAATTCCTTCAAGGATAACCATATTAGGGCTGCAGAGCACCCACACCGGGTCATCTGTGGCACTATAGACTGCAGGAAACCCGTTGACCGTTTCGCTTTTTTCTTTTTTCTTTACAAGCACCTGATATCAATTTAAGGCCCAATCTGTTGATCAGAATCGCCTATCAGTTAGAAATAGAGGGCTAAAATAAAAGGATCGGAGTGAGGCCCTAAATCGGTACCTGATTTGTTTGTGCAACGCTGCAGGCCAAAAAAATGTAGGGGACCTGTAGGCCGCGATTGCGTTTTGGACTGGTGTGGCGATGAGTCTCGGAGAAAAAAAAATATGTTCCATGAGGTGTCTCAATGGGAAATGGCCTGGGCACTTTAGGGCTCGGGGGATCATCTGATGTCAATCAAATATCGATCTAATCTTGGGGCTGAAGCTAACACTATCCCTTTGGGAAGTTGATCGAGGTACAACCTATTTTAAAGCTCGTTTTGTTCAGTGTCTCAGGTACGTTTGAGAAGATAGAGGGCGGAAATTGTGTGACAGAACAAGCGCCCTTCCGACGGGTAGGCACAGGCTGATATCGGGTCCGACGCGTTTCAACTGTGCCACTTGTGCCTTGGCTTTGATCGATATGTAATGGGTTGAATTACCTTCTTTGCAGCGTTGAGATGAGCAGTCCTCAAGTCTTGCTCGAAAGTCTAGAGATTGAAGTTGAAAACCCGACGGAAATCTACATCAAACTTTCTTATCATGTCCCTTTTAGTGAAACAGTTCCCCCTGCTATTGGATATTTATCGATGAGCCCTGCCCTCTTCGTCCCGGCCCGCCGTCTCTCTTGCTTTCTTGGCCTCCTGAATATCTAAAGACACCTTCACCGGGTGGACTCCCGGGGTCTCAAACACGGTATCAATCTCCTCCAAAGACAAACGGCTAGTTTCTGGGAAGAACAAGTACGACAAGAGGAGCTGAATCGAGTTGTACACAATGTACACGACCCAGATCTTGTAACCCACCTTTTCGATGCCAACGCCAATTCCGTAAGTCTGTGCGGCTCCGGCACCGCCTTGAAGAAGACCGTAAAGACCCATACCCTTAGCACGAAGTGGCAGAGAGAGAATTTCAATTGGGTACAAGTTGTGCATGGTCGCAACAAATGTAGCTGAGAAGGTCTGGTAAAGGAAGATCCAGAGAATGGTGAGCGCAGCCGCCGCGGCGGTGGCATGGAGATTGTACTGCCACGACGTGATCGTCGTAGCCGTTTGGAAAGCAATCATGCTGATCAGGCCCACAAAGATCATGGTTCGTCTGCGGAATTTATCGATGATAAGCGCGCCAACAGCCGTAAAGACGAAATAGACTGCGGTGGTGCCAATGTTGATACCGAGTAGCTGCTTCTCGCCCTTGATGCCAAGTTGCTGTAACGAAGGAACCATCTAAAAAGGATGTTAGCAAACGAATGGAGTTTCCTTCGATCCAACTACTCACGTAGTAGGTGATAATGCCACCTCCATTCCATTGCTGGAAGAGCGAGTACAGAAGCAAGACCAGCAGTCGAAAACGGGCCGTCTTGGTGAAGAAGACGCGATAGTCCCAGGCAGCCCTGTAGCCGGTCTGGTCACTTTCGAGAGATTCCTCAATTTGTGTCACTACTACATCGACAATGGGCTGATTGATGTCGGCGCTAGTGGTGTGATATTTGGCGATGACTTCCTTGGCCTTTTGGCGATGGCCTCTCAAAACATAGTAGCGGGGCGACTCTGGAGTTAGAAGGTAGATCCCCACGCAGACAATAGCAGGGAACAATGCCTCAAGAAGGAGTGGAACACGCCAGGAGTTGTTGCCAGGCAACTCGGTAAGCCCAATCATGGCACCAAGCATGGCAAGACTACCGACCTGGAAACATGCGCCGAAAAAGCCGACCATGACACCACGCAGATGGATAGGCGAGATCTCGCCGATGTACTGGGAGCTTGACATGAGCGAACTCCCAAAGCCCATGAAGAATCGACCGGCCATGAACATCGGCAGGTTCGTGGCAAGACCTTGCATGAGAGATGCGAAGATGACAATGGCGTTGCCGGTGAAATTGATTCCACGACGACCGATCACGTCCGCTAAGCCCATGAAGGGTGCTCCGCAGACGATACCAATCTGCATCAGAGCATTGATCAAACCAAATGTGCCACCACTGCTCCCGAAACCGAAGTAGTCATGCCAGGAATCCAAAGCATTGATACCGCTGATAACACCCCAGTCGATTCCAAAGCCAGCTTGGTTACAACCATGGATGAACATGATGAGACCCAGGCGAACTCCCGTCCACGATCGTAGATTCAGAGAATCCTCGGACAACTTCCATAGGTCCTCTTCTGTCACCCGTGCCAAGGTAATCTCCTCAATATGTTCTCGATCTACACTCTTGCCCAGTTTGGGCTTCGCATAGGCGGCATCCGAGGTCATGATTGCGTTTTGGCGAACTCGGTGGAATAGACTTGATGTTACAAACAGATGTCGTCCCAGAAGCATCGGGTCGAGAACTCTTGAGCCGCAGTCAAAATTGAGCTAAAAGCGGGGATGATCCGGGGTATTTCTGCTTCGGTCAATCGGTCTCTCGAAGCTAGGGGGTCGGTATCCAGGGTGTTGCTACGCGACCTATTTCGTCACGGAGAAGACTTGAGATCCGATCCAGATTAAGCTCATGGTATAATGTAACGGCCAAAATTGACAGTGATTGGTGAGTGCGGGGGGTCATAATGTACGTTTTGCATGCCAATTCCTAAATTATCTTTTCTCGCCATCTGCACTCGGGATTTCCTACCAGTGAGATGCGAGTGCAGGGGGGACTAGCGTTGAGCTGGCTGGGGTATCGCTTAAGTCGTCCCCCAAAGCTAGTCTGACGTGGTCACATCGACCCCGGATCGCAAGGAGGTCGATCATCTGGGGAAGACATTTAGCCTGGAGTCTGGGGGAACAACCGGGGGGAAGTGTTAGAGCTGGCGCTTGTTGGTAGGATTACCCGAAGTCCCTTGTCCTTGGCCTATTGGATCGGGTTCTTCTTGGTCATTCCACTAGCCTCTGGCTCTTTTGAATTGTCAGATTTCCGGAATTTCAGCCTGTTCTGCTCAAACACGGCGGCTGACGGACCGACCTGCCGCATTGGTCTCCAGGACTGGGCCATGTTGACACATCAGTCCAACACAGACCAACAGACCAGACCAGTTGAAGATTATTGAACATGTCGGAATTATGGTACCAACAACCTGCGGAGGACTGGAATTCAGCTCTGCCAGTCGGGAATGGGCGCCTAGGAGCCATGGTGTACGGACGCACCGATACAGAAATGCTACAGCTCAATGAGGATTCAGTTTGGTATGGAGGACCACAAGATCGCAATCCGCAAGACGCGCTCGAGTATCTGCCACGCCTGAGAGAAGCTATACGGGCGGAAAATCATGCTGAAGCTGAGAAGATCGCCAAGCTGGCGTTTTTCGCTAATCCGATCAGCCAGCGGAACTATGAGCCGCTCGGAAATCTGTTCTTGGATTTGGGACATAATCCCAGTCAGGTCACAGGCTATCGGCGTTCTTTGGATCTCGCACGTGCTACAGCGCATGTTCGCTATGAGTACCAAGGTATTTGCTTCGAACGTGAAGTCCTGGCCAGTAACCCGGATGATGTACTTGCGATCAGATTGCACTCCTCGAGCAAGGCCGAGTTTGTTGTTCGCTTGACACGCATGAGTGACGTGGAATTTGAAACAAATGAATGGCTTGACGATATCAGTGCATCCGGCAACTCCATTACCATGCATGTTACACCTGGGGGCAAGAACAGTAGTCGAGTGTGCTGTGTCGTGTCAGTTCGATGCGACGGTGCTGATGGTACAATCACCAAAATTGGAAAGAATCTGGTGGTGAACTCCACTGACACACTGCTTGTTATCGCGGCTCAAACTACATTTCGACACGAAGACATCGATCAACGAACCAAGCAAGATGCAGAAATTGCTTTGGGCCTCTCTCTGAAAGACCTCCGCACCCGTCACACTGCGGACTACCAGTCCCTCTACGACCGAATGGAATTGCAACTTGGGCCAGGCTCTCCTGAAATCCCAACTGACCAACGTCTCAAGTCTTCTCGTGATCCGGGGCTCATCGCATTATACCACAACTACAGTCGTTATCTTCTGATATCATGCAGCCGGGATGGACACAAATCACTTCCTGCAAACCTCCAGGGTATCTGGAACCCATCTTTCCATCCGGCATGGGGCTCCAGATTTACCACCAATATCAATCTTCAAATGAACTACTGGTCTGCAAATGTGTGTAACCTGTCCGAATGCGAATTTCCTCTCTTTGATTTACTTGAGCGCATGGTTGAACCTGGCAAAACAACAGCTCAGATCATGTACGGATGCCGGGGATGGACGGCCCATTCCAACACTGACATCTGGGCGGATACAGCCCCCGTTGATCGATGGATGCCAGCAAGTATCTGGCCTTTAGGTGGTGCATGGCTCTGCTATCACATTTGGGATCATTTTCAGTATACCTGCGATGAAGTGTTTCTTCGTCGAATGTTCCCCACCCTGCGGGGGTGCGTGGAGTTCCTCCTCGACTTCCTGATTGTCGACGCCAATGGTGCATATCTTATCACCAGTCCGTCTGCTTCTCCAGAAAACTCGTTCTACGATCACAAGGGACAGAAGGGTGTACTGTGTGAAGGATCAACGATCGACATCCAAATCATTGATGCTATTTTGGGCGCGTTTCAATCCTGTACAAAGAAACTTGATCTCCAGGATGCCCTGCTTCCAGCAGTCTACGCTACAAAGTCCCGTCTCCCACCATTGAAGATTTCCCCGGCTGGTTATCTACAGGAATGGGCCATCGACTACGCCGAGGTCGAACCCGGGCACCGTCACACGTCCCATCTGTGGGCCCTGCACCCCGGAAATGCAATCACGCCGGCAAAAACACCCCAGCTGGCAGGCGCGTGCGGAGAAGTTCTTCGTCGACGCGCCGAACATGGTGGTGGTCATACTGGCTGGAGTCGTGCGTGGCTGCTTAACTTACACGCACGGTTACTTGAAGCCGAGGAATGCAGCAAGCATTTAGACTCGCTTTTGTCCCGCTCTACCTTGTCCAATCTACTAGATAGCCACCCTCCTTTCCAGATCGATGGTAACTTTGGTGGTGGGGCGGGCATCATCGAAATGCTGGTCCAATCCCATGAGCCCGGGGTAATTCGCATCCTTCCAGCATGTCCGAGGGATTGGACTGGATCCATTCGAGGCGTGCGGGCACGAGGTGGGTTTGAGCTGGAATTTGATTTCGAAAATGGCCGTGTTGTAGGTGGAGTGACTATCTTTTCGGAGCGTGGAGAGACTACGGTTGTTCACTTCAACGAGTCACATGTAGAGATTATTGGTGGCGGTCAGCATAAGATTGAGTAGGTGTTGAAAACAATAGATCGGTGTCTCAATGATATACCAAATGACTCCGAAATCTCAGATACCTCAATTCTTTACACTGGTGTAGGCATCTTCCCCGCGGTTGTGCCTCCACCCTGCATAGCTAGCTACCCCCAGACCCCTGCACTTCCTCAACCACCACGGAGCAACACCCGCACATCCCAGGCTCAGGGTAAATTGCAGAGAGAATCGTGACACTTTATCCGGATATCTTTTTGCGGGGTATGTTCGATGAGAGCTCCAAGCCAAAGAAAATCAATTGACAACCCTCTTGGTGCAGTTCCATCAGTACCAACGCAGGAGCAACACACACAACGAGATGGATTTGAACTCCGTGCAAGACCTCAAAGATGTGCTTCGACCTGACTTCTTCCATGGCTACGCCACCGCAGCAGCCCAAATAGAAGGCGCCTGGAACAAGGACGGCAAGGGCATATCGATCTGGGATACATTCTGCCACACGCCGGGCAAAATCGCCGATGGAAGCACAGCCGATGACGCCGTCCGAGCTTACGATTACTACCGCGAAGATGTGGGACTCATGAACTCCTACGGCGTAAACGCCTACCGCTTCTCTCTCTCCTGGCCCCGCATCATCCCCCTCGGCGGTCACGACGACCCCGTCAACGAGCAAGGAATCAAATTCTACTCCGATCTCATCGACGAACTCCTCCGCCATGGAATCACCCCCTTCATCACCCTCTTCCACTGGGATATCCCCCAGGCCCTGGAAGATCGGTACGGAGGTATGTTGAACCAGGATGCCTACACGCCGGACTTTGTGCGCTACGCCCGCATCTGCTTCGAGCGCTTCGGCGACCGCGTCAAGCACTGGATTACATACAACGAGCCGGGGGTTTATACCCTCGCTGGGTATGCAGCGGGCGTGCACGCGCCCGGCAGATCGTCCTTCCGTGAGCGTAGTGCCGAGGGCGATTCATCTACCGAGCCGTTCATCGTCGCGCACACCGAGCTCGTCTCGCACGCTCATGCTGTGCGCTTGTACCGGGAGGAATTCCAGCCCCGGCAAAAGGGAACTATTGGTATCACACTACATGGAAACTGGTCCGAGGCGTGGGATGAAGAGGACCCGCGCGACCAGGAGGCTGCGGAGCGTGCGCGCGAATTTGAGATCGCTTGGTTTGCGGATCCGTTGTACAAGACGGGTGATTATCCTGCGTCAATGCGGGCGCAGCTCGGTGACCGGTTACCGAGGTTCACGGAAGAGGAATCGAAGCTTGTGTTTGGGAGTTCGGATTTCTACGGTATGAATAGCTACACGACTTTCTTCGTGAAGCACACAACTTCTGCACCTGATATCAATGATCATAAGGGAAATGTGGAGATCCTCGATGAGAATAAGCAAGGTGTGTCTCGGGGGGAGGAAAGTGATACTCCGTGGTTGCGGGCTGCGCCCTGGGGATTCAGGAAGCTGTTGAACTGGATCTATAAGCGATACCAGATGCCAATTTATGTTACGGAAAACGGTACTACTGCGAAGGGTGAAACGGCTCCCACGCCTGAGGTTCTTAATGATGAGTTCCGCATCAAGTTCTTTGAGGGCTATGTTGGTAATGCGCTGGCGCGGGCTGTGAAGGAAGACGGGGTTGATGTCCGATCTTACTTCGCTTGGACATTTACCGATAACTGGGGTAAGTTGTTGGCTTCTTCGTCGACATGGTGATTTTACTAAGATTCTCTAGAATGGGCTGCTGGCTATGCGGATCGCTTCGGTTCCACATTTATCGACTTTGAGTCCGAAGAAAAGACTCGGTATCCCAAGCAATCTGCCTGTTACTTGGATAGGTTGTTCCAGCATTTAATTAAAGACGCTAATTAGAGCTTCACGAACTACAAGATTTTTTTACTTGCTTTCTTTGATAGACCTTCTCGCTAATCTGGCATGTACGAAGTAGCTCTCTAACCTTCCTCTTTTAGTAGTGCCTTGGTAAGCCTATCTATCTACCGGTACAACCGTAGTTGGAACCTGGTTTATATTGACTCGACCTTTTACTAACTTCCTATTTTATCTAGTAACTTTTGATCTAGTAATCATTCTAATTAATGAGAGATTTTTGCATAGATCCAGTTATCGTACCATACCTTGTAATACCATAGATTGCTTTCAGTTATTGCAAGGCTAAAAATTGTCTTGGTGAACCCTTATGAAAGGCGAATCTAGACTGAATGAGTATCCTATACCATGAAGAAGAAGATCCGCTATTGTTCTAAATTTGCTTTTCTGAATAACAATCTTTCACGTCTTTGTCCCATATTTTGGATGATAAAGAACCGAAACTGATCGTTGTTGCTTTACCTCTTTTTGATCAAGTACTCGACTTGATGCAAACCTATATAGACGCCGGATGCACCACCTGAACACACACATCATCCACGAACTACTCCGTCTCCAAGCCATCAAGTCCCAAACAACTTCCTCAAGTAAGCCACACACTCTCCTCTTTTCAATTCCATTTACTTTCCATCAGAACCATGTCGACACGCGCTTGCCACGGTACGTACGAAGAGGAGCGTCGCTACTTCATGACCACCTTACACGCTCAGATTGACATTCTCCAGGACAATTACAGGGGTGGCCGACAGATGGTGATCAATTCTCTAAGTCTTCTTCTTTTGCGCGTTGAGGGCCTGAGGATGTCTGGACAGGCTCATTTTACCCATGACAACCCTAGTTGGACCGATAAGTGTAACAAGCTCCAGGAACGGATGCAATGTTTCAGAGATACTCTAGTCAAGGATCGGAGCAGCACCTACAGAGTCGCTGCCGATATCCAGAATATGATGCTCTTTTTGAACTTTTGTGTCGCCGCGGATATTCAGTACAGGATTTTACCCGATCGCGGTGACCGAAGTGGTGCCCCATCGCCTGAGCCTCGGTGTTAAGGTGTGCTTTTAAGGTGTTGAAAGTTCGATGAAGGAAGTCATTCCAGTTGGAATGAGCTGACAGCAAAAATATGGATTGGTGAAGTATCAGCATAGTAAGAAACTCACGTGTGACCTTCATAGTTTTGAGTCACATCGCCCTCGCTCAGTGGCCTTTTCGGCAAAATGCGGATATCCAAAACGTCATTGGGAGCGACGATCACGAAAGAAAAAAAAAAAGAAAAGTAATCAGGGACCTTGTGATTCGTACATATCGTCAACCCAGGAAAACCAGAAGAGGATAAGCAATACAGGATTCTTGGCCCCCTCCAACTCTTTGGTCTTGAACATCAAATCTCCCATGGCTTCGACAACCGGAATTCCTCAACCCCCCGCGACAATTGTCTCGCGAGAAGACGAGCCTCTATTGGGCCGTCCAGGCGATGTCACACAAAATCCCAACGAGAGCTTTTATCGGAACCTCTTCACAGGTGAGCGTCAAAGTCGCTGATCGAATTTCATCGACTAACCAACTCAGGAACCGCAAGTGTCGCGCAAGCAGGAATTTGGATAGTGAGAGAACATCAACCCTTCCGAAGATTCGAGATCTAATTCAACAAAGTTAGCGGCGTTGGTCTGGCAAGGCGTCTTATCCCTACCCCTCTCGTTGTTCACCCCGCATCCAGTAAGGAGCTGAGTCGCCGATTACCGGCTGAAAGACACTAACGGGAATCTTTTCAGTTGCTCGGAAGTTCTGCTCTTCTTCTTCAAGTCCAAGCAGCTCTAATCTTACAACCAACGACCACCCCACAACAGAAGCGTATCGGTACACGCATCCACTACGTCTTGCAACTGCTCAGCGTGGTCCTCTTTGTATCGGCCTTTGTTATAATCGAACTTAACAAGGGTTCCCATCCCCACTTTGTTTCCCCCCACGGTCTTCTGGGCTTGGTCACGTACATCGCCATTGTACTGCAAGCCGTGGTCGGTGTCATCCAGTTCTCGTTGCCGGTCACGATTCTCGGCAGTGTCGACGCTGGGAAGCGCATTTACAAGTATCATCGCTGGAGCGGATATGTTTTGTTACTGCTGGAGATGGCGACTGTCGTGGCGGCGACGCAGACCACCTACAACGTGACGGCGATACATATTCCGCTATGGGGTGTCCTTGTCTCCGTCGTTTTGATTCTCGCGGGCGTGGGTGCGAGAATTAAGACACACAAGTTGGGGTTGTGAAATGGAGATTGAGAAGCTATTGATGTGGCAAACGATTTATGAACCGAACACTTGACCCTGTCGACAAATCTATATTCACCGAGGCGACTACCAATTCTAGGAGCTTGGAAATGCATGGGAAAACATGATCTTTTTTTTTGGCTGAAAAGCCATACGTGACAAGAAACAATATGTAACGGAGTCTCTCTGCGACTCGAACCCTTTTTCGTACTCTATTTCGGTGCCTGCCTCTCGCTTTTTTTTTCACTTCGTAGATGGATAGAATTGACCATCTCCCTGAGCGCCCTGCTCATCAGGGGGTTCTTCGATGTATGCTGATTCGCAACAATTGAATCTTTAACTGCGGAAATGGCAGATGTCCCAACAATCACGTCCACAATTTCGTCAAGTTCTATCAGCTCAAGATTGTCGGCCATAGATAGATCAAGGCTCTGAGATTGCACTTAAATAGCCAGATACATAGCTTAAGTACGCTTCCAATGCCAAAGAAGCTTTCCAGGGCTCGGAGCGAACATTCGTGGACTCCGAGAGCGGACGACTACAGTCGAACCAGAGTTAGACCCAAGGAGGATATCTCGCACCTTCGTGATGAATTGAGCCATGATGTGAAACAACGCAGGCTTATGGAGGAGCAACGTACTCCCCGACGCCTCTTAAGTGTCGGTAGATTGTTAGGCCCATCGAATACATCGAAGTGTCGATCAAATCTCTTTAAACCACACAGAAGCATATGTAAAAGGACAACTTGGTTCAATCCTTGTGGTGTACTTTCTTCGTTGCGCTCAAAAAAAAATGAGGAGAATTGTCACTTCTATTCATTTCGATCATAGTATTGTGTATTCGGGAGTCCTGGCCATTAAGGGAGCTTTTATCAACAGTCCGAGAATCAAGGTCAACGCTACGTAGGGTTGGTCCTGATGCTGTGCGTGGTCAAGCCAAGGTCGAATTTCGATCTGAGATCCAAGATACATTTGCATCGAACAGCTTCATATGGCCACAACTCTAACGATCTCGCTCCAACTGAATCGAAATGTGTGCACTTCAACAACTTTGGATGCTAGCGACCCGTCTGAATTGATCGTCATTCATGATAGACTTGGTTCGGTCCATTTATGCAGGGCCTCCACTGGGTAGGTAATTATCGGAGACGTCTTGGTAAACCATTCGCATTTTCCCATCATTTGAAACCGAAAGGATTCGTCGTGATAAGACTCCAGCCCATTCGCCACGGGTTACGCGGTACTGGTGGCCTTGCATACTCACCCGGCGGTTGACATCCTTGCGGGTTGCGAGATGCTTTCACGTAGTCAGCTCCAAAATATATACGCTGCGTGAATACCGTCTCTGATGAAAGCTGAATCAAGCGGAAAAGTGACCATCCAGCATTGTTTTTCAACTTGCTCTCCCCATCATGGAAGTCCTCACCATTCAATCAACCCTTGCCACACCCCATCACCAAGCTCTAGAACACATCTACCTTACACCGAAGAAGCAACGGGTGGATATTGAGACCACCGAGATCCTCCAAGATGAAGAGATTCCACGGACACCGGAAGAAAAACGCATCGTTCCAAAGCTATGGCAGAACCCCCAAACCTACGCAGTGCAGGCTCTCCACAGCCCCTGGCACCGCACCATGTTACACCTCCAAAGCGCACTTTTCCACGCCTCCATCGACTTTTTCCGCCACAAACTGCACTATGAGTACCTTGTCGTTCCCCTCACCACGGGTAGTATCAGTTCTCCAATGGGTCTGGGTTCGGACTCTCAACCCGTCAGGATCCAGCTGAACCACCAACCCACCTACCTCGCCGACTCTCAGCAATTCCTCCTCGAATACGCCCTGCGGCTCCAAGATGTGCCCAACGGCGTGTACTACGCCGGCACCTCTTGCCGTGGGGAAGACCACGACGCCACTCACCTCAACCAATTCTGCCACGTGGAATGTGAACTTCTTGGCGGATTGGCAGCAGGCATGACCGTTGCGAGCCAATACATCATTGACCTCACCCAATCACTGCTTGATTCGCACAGCACTGAGATCGCTCGGTATGCTGGTACCACATCGCACATGCAGCAGCTGCTCGAGCTCTACCGCGCAAACAACAACTCTTTCCCTACTATCACCCTCGCCGAGGTACTGGCGCTGCCGGAGCTCACGAGTGAAATGTGGGAATGTGTCGTTCCGGGAGCCCCCGAATATGGACGTCTTATCACGCGCAAGGGTGAACAGATGCTTATTGCCAAGTTTGGGGGTGCGTGCTGGTTGACGGAGATGGATCATCTGAGTGTACCGTTTTATCAGGCCTATTCTCCAGGCACTCCGACGCAAGAGGTTGCCAAAGCCCAATGTGCGGATTTCTTGGTGGGAATGGGTGAGGTCCTTGGTTGTGGGCATCGGCATGTTTCGGTGGATCAGGCCATGCGTGGCTTACGGGAGCATGGGGTTAACCCTGAGGACTATAAGTGGTACTTGGAGATGCGGAGAGAGAGGGATCTGGAGACGACGGGGTGGGGGATTGGGACGGAACGGTATCTGTGTTGGGTTTTGGGACATGACGATGTGCGAGATGTGCAGATTTTCCCAAGATTGAAGGGCTTAGAGTGTGCGCCTTGATTTTGCTGATTTTGGATTCTTTGTTTTCCAGCTTTGGGTCTATGGCTTGGGGTTTGCGGCTACCGTGTTCTCTTTGATTTGTTTTTTCCCCTCTCCTTCTCACAGGGGTTCTTGAATGTTTTGCTATTTGGTTAGGTACATGAATTTTCAACTTGGTCTAGGGCGAGACAGATATAACCGGACCTCATGTTGCACCAAGGCATCGCTGCTTGCTTCTTTCGACCGTTTTGTCAGACGTCGCTTGGCCTCTATTTGATCTGGATCATCCAGGATGGAGGTACGCCTCCCGACGCCTTATGAAGGTCCTGCAGTACTGTCAAGCTCAGGTGGCTTATCCAGACTGTCTTTCCTTTTGTGGCTGCGTCTGCACGGTCGAGGAAACAGATTATTCTGCGAAAATTCATGGATCTTGCGATGATGTTCTTTCTATAGATCCCCATTTGGTTGCGTTAGCATGTCGATCAGAAATCTTGCATTTCTCCGAAACCAGTCGAATCTGATTAGGGCCGCATACCATATTATCTACAAAGATTAGCACTGTGGGACTGCGATATCAGGGAGATGGGACAACACAGAGGTATAAGAAAAAAAAACCTACCAACTCGACTGAACACCCGCGTACATCCCAACGACTCCGCCGCAGAGCATTTGATCATCGGCCTATGAGACCTCATGTGCCGTTGACAGTCTTTACTTGAGGAGAACCCGATCTTTGACCAGGCACAGTCCCGTTCCTTACAGAAGTAAGTTTTCTGATGGGAACGGTAATGCTTTCGCAGATCGCAGGCCCGCAGAAAGACCTGACGGGAGAGACATCCGGAATAGTTGCAGCGCCAATCACCGTTTTCATCTTGATAGCCTATTTCAAAGATATCGGGAGGCGTCCAGGGCTTTGAATCGGCTTGTGATTGATGTGTCGAGGAAGATAGCGAGGTCGGTGAAGAAAGAGGCTGCTCCAAAGAACCATCTACCGAGGAGAGACTTCCGTTTAATTGGGACCACAGGAAATCGAAATTCGGATCCAGTTGCAACGATGGGTCGACTCTATTGTTGAAGTCGTTCAAATCGACCACTTCCTCTAGTGGCCACAACTCTCCAGGGGTCCATAGATCGCCCGAATTATGTTGCTCCTGGGAGAGTTCGAAAAGGTAGAAGGGGTCGAAATCAAGTGACATTTTGTTCAGTACAGAGATACCTGTAGGGCTTGGTCTGACAGGGCTTATATTATTTGTCGCATTTATAGTATTCGATGTATAATATCCCGGTTTCATCGTGAAGATGTTTAGGGCCGGACAACCGACGGGATGTGCCCCCCCCCCCCCCGCTTATCCAAAGAAGGGAAATCGTGTAGGTTGTAAGCGGTCCATAGAACCCGTGCAGAGATGGGTGGACTCCATGCAGAGTGACTTTGACCAATCCGAAGGAGACTAGGGTCAATAATAGGTACTGGGTATCGGCTTCCTTAGCCCGGGCTAGATTGTGGAGTTTCGCTTTCTCTTAGCTATCGATTCGATTCAGATTGCAACCGTGAAATCTGTTGACCCGATTATGCAAGGCCAGTCATTCAGCCCTCCGGCCAATGATTAATTTCGTTGATAGGGATCAGTGTACGGAGTAAGATTGATATAAACCATGGCTAATCCATATCGTCTGACGTATCAAGGTCGAATGAATATGGTAACATTGGCTCAGCTGAGAAAAAAATGACCCCCAAGGTACAATACTCGCCATGTTCTGATTCAACCGATGCATTGGAGAAGGATACGAATCCTGAAGAATGCGGATTTCTATTTCCATCCAACAATAGAGGTCTTAAGTGGGGGGGTCGATCTAACGTCTGGCACCAGGTGCTATCTGTCACGATTTTCACCCTGCTGACAGTCTTGGTGATTCTCACTGGAACGTTACTGTTCTGGTTCAAATCATCTTCCCTCGGTCATCCAGATGGGCCAAGCCAGTTGGATTATTTCCGTCAGTCTCGAATCACTTTCTCTGACTAAAAATGAAAGTGAAAACTGAAACGTGCAACAGTCTACTCCCCGTCGGGCGACAAGCAGCATCCGGAGATGGTGGAGAAAATCTACCACGATTATCACGATGACTTCCTGAATTTTAATACCACAATATCTCAACAACACTGGCGAAGTCTTTTCCCGGGTGAGTCTCCGCTCCTCCCTCGTTCCTAACTCTGCCTAACTCATCTTACTCACACGTGGCAAAATGTAGTGGGAGAAGGTATGATCGGCTTGACCGACCAACAGGTCATTGATATGGATCTCCATCATTCCGTTCGTGGCGTGTCAGACCCGAAGAGACACATCTACCTGGTGGCCGCATTTCACCAACTGCATTGCTTAGTGAGTGGTTCTTGTTCCCGCCCCCCCATCGGATTGGCCATTGCTGACCGTCGATCCATCCATGTAGAGCCAAGCGCGATCGATCATCATGCATCTCTTCCAGGACCCAAATTATACCATCCGTGAAGCCACCTATCATCACACCATGCACTGTGTGGATATTGTGCGCCAGGCGCTGATGTGTGCCTCGGACTCGACCCTTATCTGGAAGGAATATGACGTGAAATGGCCTGGAGAGGGAGGAACGAGGGTCTGCCGGAACTTCGATGCGTTAACCCAATGGGTGGTTGACCATCAATATGTGTCTCAGTCGTTTGACCCCGCTCTCCTACCACACACAGAATATTGAAGGCTCTGAGATCTTTCCGGTGCTCTCCTCTCAGTGCCCTGTCCGTCGGAGGGGTGACGCTTTTGGCCCCCAAGCCAAGGCGCTTGTGTTTTTGTTCTAGTCCTGGCAAGATAAATCTTGCATTCTCGATGGGCACGGAGTATTTTCCCGGCCCAATCCGCTTCTTATCGTGGACCCCCACTGCGTGCGTGTCTGATGCAAAGGCCTACATGGTCCAATCCAAACCCTTGCCAACAGTTTATACATCGAGTATCTTAAAATTAGACCTTTTCCCGCCACTTTCTGCGGTCAATCTATGAAACGGAGAGGAGATTTGAGAAATGCCTTTTAGAATGACTCCTCTAAAGGCTACCCAAAAAGGCGTCAGAAAGCCACAGATAACCAGTATCATCGAACCCTGTCCAAACGGAAATATCTGAATCCTCTCACCCAAAGACTCCTCACCCAAGTCCCATATGACAGGTATACGGAGAACAGAGTACTCCGTATTCCGTACCAAAATCAGCCAAGCTGACAGAAATGGATGCGACAACAAGGTATGGGACGATTAACAGATGTGGAGTAATTCTCTTACTCAAATGACAACCGCTTCTTGTCCAATCTGTGCGGACAAAGCTAATCAAACAGATCGTCCATTGATAGAGAGCACGCCATTATAGCAGTCCGAGGATTTTCTAGGTATTCTCCATACGCCGTTTTCAACCATGTGTTGAAGATTAGTACGGAACATGCACAAGCCTTTTGCATACAGCAGTGGGGGGTTGTCTAGCGTGGGCAATGTACTTTGCACCGGGTAGATCTCCGATACCGGGGAGTTGGGGGTGGGTTTAGCGCACGCAATCCACAAGCTGCACAGTACTTTTTTCTCCGGATAAGGAAATTGAACAGCTAGTGGCGGCCTTGCATAAGTGTCGACCATGTCGGAGAAATGATGAAGTTGTCACCAAATCCTTCCCCACAGCATATCCCCTCATCCACCCCAATGCCTCGGTACAGGCAAATTGACATCATGTTCTCTCAAGAGATCGTCTCTCAAGAGATCGAAAGCCGGTCCACAACCACCGTCTCATAAATCCCGCCGACGCTATTCTTCAACACAGCCAACCGGGATACCATTCTATTCGCGCTCTTCGCGTTCTTCGCGTTCTTCGCACGGCTATATTTATGTCCCTGGCGGGTGAGCCCGAAATACAACCTACGCACTCATAGATGTTCAATCAGCAAGCCAACAAGGTTCCAGCGTATGCGAGGAATTCGCGCAGGCCGCGGAGGATCAAAGTTGTTTACTGATTCCCATCGTTCTGAATTGCGACGAAGATGAGAATCTGAGGGGTATGACGCAGTCCAAGCGTGAAGAACCTACCAAACCTTGTGGGGAATTTCTGATGATCGATGTGGCTCTCAAGGTAGCGAGGATTAAACGGGAGCCTGGAGATCTTCATATTGAATTTGCATTGTTACTCCCTCACGCGGAACGAGACCAACAAAAGGAAGAGAGAAGGAAAAGCTCAAATGATAGATTTACACGGTGGCTAGCTACCTGATTAGGTAGCTAGTTGAGACCACGCAAACAGGGCATCCAACACCGTCACTACCACTGTGGGATTCGCAAGAAACGGTTATGAAACCTCTCAATTCTTAAATCTACCGTCTAGATTGATGAAGTCGCCAAATGCGCCACAATTTCGCCTGCTAAAAGCCCAAGGCCAGCCACATTCGTCACTTTTGGTCCCAGTTCGGTGGTGAGGTACTCCGGGAGGGAATCAGAGAAGGTCGCAGGCTTAGGGAATGAAGATGGTCGTGGACTAGCTAAGAAAATGGTGATGGAGCCTTTTCGTTGAGGATGGACCTCAAGTTGCTGAGGTGTCGTATCAGGACCAAGTTCCTGTGATAGAACCCGGAGCACATTCCATATTTGAAGGATAGTCTGAGAGTATTGTTGTAGGTCTGCGGAGAATAACCCTGTCTTGTCCGGCCGATGGATCTCGACCTTGATCAACTTTTCTTCAACATAGTGGAACTCTGCACGGTGGCCGTTGCTTAGAGGGCGGGTGGTGATGTGACTGTCATCTTTGAGGACTGTATCCATGGACGGCGAGGCCATCAAGAGCGGAAATATAAATGCCCAAGAGGATTTATCACAAGTTATAAATGCGATATCAGGGGCTTGGTAGAAACTCTGTACCTTCTGAATCACTCCTCTGAGTCGGACGAAGAAATCCGCAAAGACATCAGCTTCCAAGGACAACACGGGCTCTCTCAGCTGGGTTTGAGCCACAATCTGATTGGGAAAGGTTGGGTACTTGACCATCCCAGCTCTGATCTTATCGTCCTCGAAGATGGCGAGTTGGTTCAAAATCGGAATGGTCAACCTCGCGATACCAGCCTGCCCGGGGTGCTGCGAAGAATTGGCCGACGCGACTGCGAAAATCCGACTATTGCAATGGATCGAGATGGACCCGTAGATGTCCACGGCAATGACTCCACATGAAGAATCCGGGAAGAGCTTTGCAGATGTCAAAATTGCCTTCTCCACGGCATCATTCAGCTCGGTTCCCGAGCGCGCTGCAGCGGCAGCCCTTCCAGCTACAGTGGCCTGGAGTATAGCATCACCGCTTCCACTGCTATACCATCGAGAACATTGTTAGAACCAGTCTGATTCCTCGCTTGGGTAGAGCCATGTTCAATCTCACCTACCAAACAACTGCTACCTGATCATCCGCATATATCCCTGCGCCAACGATCGCCGTATCGCCAATTCTTCCTCGGTGTTTGAAGGAAATACCACCAGTAGAGTTAGCAGCTGCAAGATTGCCGTGAATGTCGAGGGCTACAGCACCCACGGTGCCATGATTCTCCAACAACTTGTTCCTCTTCGCCTCCCAATAGAGTCGACGGCTGTCGGTAGTAAAGTATGAGTTATCTACCATATCCAAGCCATTCGTCTCCGCTAGCTCATCGGCTGCCTTTCCTACTATTAAAGCTGGTGCTTGGAAGTCCAGCATTTTGTGTGCCAGTTTGATAGGATTCTTGGTGCGCTGCAATCCGCCTGCTGCTCGGTACCTACAGGTTGTACCATCAATTACAGCAGCTTCTAACTGCAGCTTGTCAACACTCGCGATTTTTTGGATCAAATTGAGAGGACTGAGAGAGGGGACTAGGGATGGGTATTTACCTCGTGGAAGCCTTCAATGTTGAGAGCAGATCCTTTGCCCGCGTTGAATTGGGGGTAGTCCTCTAGAGCAGATACTACTTCCGTGACCACCTTCAATGCACTTTCTCCGTTCCTTAATTCCTCTTCCGCTAAGTTGATCAAACGTTGAAGGAAGAATTCGGTTTTCTCTTGAAGTTGGGAGTCACCTGCCCAAGAGTCGGCAGCTCCAGCGTGTAGGACGATGCTGTAGGACATTGATGATTTATCCCGATGTTGATTGAAATCAAAGCTGTGAAATCGAAAACTGCGTAGTAATCTCTTCATATGTAAGGGCAATCTACTTGACCCTCGGCAGTTTTCGCGTGGCCTCCGCTAGAAACAACCAAACACGACCCTGGATGATTTATTGAATGCAAGGCCACCAACTTCGTCGGCTGCAGAAGCCCCGAATATTTTAGAAACCCACTGTCGTGGATGGAATAAGCCCTAGAGCAAAAACGTTGCTTTGAGGTTGTCTAGAACATACCCTCTCCTGGCGCATTAGATTGTCCCCCAGCTGTGCAAGGCCACCACTACATGCGAAGACAGGACCTAAACCCAACGGGATGATTCCTCTCATCCAATCCATTCAACTTGGTCAATTGTTTCGAGCTATAAGATTCCTAAAGAGCCCCATTCAATTTCGCTATTTCAACCCAACGCACTCTCCTTTCGATCCTCCATCTCTTTCCCGCCTCATTTCACGATATACCTTTTGATCTCCAACAAGATGAAGTCTCAAACCGTCCTCTCTATCCTTTTTGCCGCTTGCAGCGTCATGGCCGCTCCAATTGATACCCCTGTCAATGAGCTATCCTGCACCAACTCCGGTGAAATGGCCTGCGCCGGTATTGTCGAGAAGCGCGAGGAGCCCGTCAATGAGCTGTCCTGCACCAACTCCGGTGAAATGGCCTGCGCCGGTATTGTCGAGAAGCGCGAGGAGCCCGTCAATGAGCTGTCCTGCACCAACTCCGGTGAAATGGCCTGCGCTGGCATTGTCGAGAAGCGCGAGGAGCCCATCAATGAGCTGTCCTGCACCAACGTCCGGTAGAAATGGCCTGCGCTGGCA